CAACGACAACATTTTTAGAACATTCCAAGCCTTTTTTCAAACAATTTCGACAGCTACTAGTTTTTTCTTCAGAGCATTTTTTGTGAGATTTACTGCATTCTGTGCATGCTTTGAAGTATGGACCCCTTTGTTTTTTATTTTTATTGATGATGCTGCTATTTTTCTTCATTATTATAATTAAAAATCGAGAATGTGACAATGGTTAATAATAATAAGATAGAATGTATGATATTTGTTTTTTTATAACGGAGGAGAAATTGGATTCTTTTATAAGTGTTTATGTTACGTCAGAATGTCCTAATTTAGTAATAATTGTATGACTAAACTTGATTTTAACGTATACTAAATGGCTTAACCAAACGCTCGATTGAGTTACGCAACTAGCACTGATTATATCACCATTGTTATTATTGGGTAGTGATTAAACTATTATACTAATAATAATTTATATCTTCAAATGATATAAAGAGATTAATTGGTTGGCGAATGGATTCTTTCATTTAACTACTTTAATATCTCCGATTTAAAAATTACATATTAATATAGTAAGTGCGCCGTTCCACCGATACGTGTTTGGTTTTCCGGTTAGAATTCTTTTAATAAATTAATTATCTCAAAATAAATAAAGTTCATTGAGTGTACGTCACTGGAAATTTTGATCTAATTGGAGTTATGACCGCGGTCAAACCCAGATCGTCAGCTAAAATGGTAAAAACCATTTAGATCAGTTGAATGATAATCTAATTAACCATGTGTTAAAGAGTGAATTGATTTGATGGTTCGTGTTTTATCTTTTTAAATAATGATTTAGGTGGTACAATCAAATCGCCTGTTACGCGCTGATGTATGATCATATACTAATACAATTTTATATCCGTGGAACATATATTCCGAAATACATTATTATAGGCTCATCTTTATTGAGCCAATAGTTGTTTATATCAATTATAAAATGATGAATATATACGAAAATGGATGTAAAATGAATAGTATAAATTAAAATGAAATTTTTTTATTTTGCATATTTTGCATATTTTATTTATTGTAGAAAGCTTCTTTGTAATTTCAAATAAAAAAATTTTTTTCCCAAATGTGAAAAGTTTTCTAGAGTTGATTAAACAAGTTTTACCTTCGAAATATAGGTGAGGCGTATTTAAATCAAAAGGATCGCAAATACGCGCGACGATTGTATTTATCAATCTCCTTTACTTATTTATTATATTTTTAGTTTTGCCTTTCCTTAATTTGGTTAATTATACGGATCAATAATAAACATCAATGAGATTCATGGTCCTATTGGACCTCAAAATTCAATCGGTTAAAAGAATTTCGCAGATCTTTTATGTGCTTCTCTTTCTCTAATATATACTAATATGGCACTTTTAAGGAACACAATGTATATGGGCGGTTTCCAGAAAAAGGCACTTTAAATGCCCTCTGACTAAAATTGAGTTCTTTGCATAATATATTAATATATTTATATTATAAGGACTATAACTGATGAAAAAAATCCGTATCTGTTTATTTATATATATAGTAAAAAAATTTTAAAATATATCGTGTAACAAACATATTTTGCAGGGGCGTTACTCAAAAAAGGTTAATATGACTAGGTATATATACCTTTTGTGGAAGGACTCCTTATATATATAAACAACAAACAGTGCTAACCAAATTACGATTGGGATAATTGAGTAGGATGATCGACATATTTTATGTGATGAGATAGGAAAAAAAAATTCGTATATATAAAAATTTTTTTTTGCTTTTTTTAATTAAACTTTACTTAATTTACTTAATTTACATATTTAACAAAATAATGCCACTATTTTATATTTGAATTAGATGTCCAACCACACAAGAGATATCGAGCGTTACTAAACTAAGCTTTTTGACATTTAAAATGAGGGTGATATTATTTTGAATATTTTTAAATTTAAAATGTTGTCACACACGAATAGAATCAATAAAAGGCTTAAAATTTTGTATTTTGTTGACTTTATTAAGTGTTATATAAAATTATGGAGTGATCGTGTACTTTTTTAAACTTTTCACAAACTAATTTATGCTGACATTGTATTGTAAATATATATGTGATCCATTACGTTAAGCATGTTTTATTAATGTAATAATATGCATTACAACAAAAAAATTTGACATGTAAAAATTTCGATTAAAAATTTTCTTTTTTGGACTATTTGCTAAATGTTTCCGTTTCATACCATACCACAGGATTGGCAAATTGACTGGTCCGTTAAAAACTGATGGACTTTGGATTCGTTCATTGCCATTAATAAAATACTAAATATAGTTGAAAAGTTACATTAACGGACCCAATGGGATCACCAATAGACTACCAATGGACTACACATTTGCCATCTCTGCCATACCAAACTTTTTGAAGCTCTTGTAATTTGAGATTTTGATACCACCCCAAATTTTAATTATAGATTTCAATTTCACATAGTCAAGCCTCGTCACAGTGGATTCACGGTTCCAGCCAAAAAATCCGTTATTGCTATGTTATGACAAGAAATCCGCAAAATTGATGATCGGCAAAAATTTTTTAATATATAATAATAATCAACAGCAATATCTAAATTTGTAGAAATTTGCATTAGTTACACACTGGAATTTATGGAATACACGCGGAAATTAAAATTATTTGTTGTAATATTTGGTTGTCAATGATTTAAATGCTTTAAATTCTTTATAATCCAGTTGACTTTGTTTTATTTTAAAAACTTGGAAAAATTTGTTACTTGGAAACATTCGGACAAATCAATTGTTGGTTTATTAATATATTTTTAGTATTTTGTTACTCGCAAAAATTTGGACAAATAATCTATCAATTGTTTGTTTATTGATTTATTTTAGAAACTTGGAAAAGGTTGTTACTTGCAAACATTTGGACAAATGACCTATCAATTGCTTGTTTATTGGTTTATTTTAAAAACTTGGAAAGTTGTTACTCGCAAACATTTGGACAAATAATCTATCAATTATTTGTATTGGTCTATTAGAAAATTTTTACTCATAAATCTTTGGATAAAATTGTTTGTTTATTGCTTTATTTTAATACTGACCTTTGATTAAAAATAATCTATTGATAATTATTATTTTATAAATTTCATATAGTCAACCACTCTAAGTGCATGCTTTCATTAATTCCTAAGCTTGGGAATTAGAGATAAGTGCACACCCCCTTCCCCCTGCACTGCACAGTCTTTTTTCATTCCCATATTTATAAAACTCCCTCTCTAAGTGCATTCCCGTGACTTTCACGTGATTGTTATCCAATAAAAATTGTGCGACGTTATTAAATTAAAATACTTTTTCTTTAAAGAATTGATTTTTTGTAAGAGATGATAAAGAATTAAATTTTATACTTGGTAAATAATAATAAAGAATATAAAGAATTAAATTTATTATAGTTGGCTTGGTCTAAAGACCTCCTAAATTTTGGGCAAATTTTAAAAGTATAAAAGTCATTTTCTGTTCTACCTTTTAAAAAAATAGCCTCATTATTGGTAAAATAGGTTTCTACTTTTAATGTGATGAAGAGATTTTCTCCAAAAAAATTTTGTATTGTAGAGTTCTATCCTTTTTTAAAACATGTACTTTACTATGCTCATGAGAAATTTGAGCGCTAGGATCATTGCTAAATTTAGACTAGTTTTTGATCATCATTACTAAATTTAGCCTAATACTCGACCATCATATCTAAATTTGGCAGTAAGAAAAAAATTTTATTGCATTTTTGAAATGAATCACGTAATTGCAATTTTTGAAATTTGAAAAACGTGTGGCGCAGCAATAGGAGGTCTTTAGACCGAGCCAACCATATAACGGTCTCTATCTATAACAGCCTTTTTTTGCAAATCAGGCGGGCCGTTATAGAGAGAGTGAACTGTAATAACCTTGGTTGCCAGTTATTCCAATATAATAAATAACCAAGGATTTCTTTGCATGCTTTTTTTTATAAAAGTTTTCTAGGTTTGATTGTATCATTAAAATCAGTCAGTCAAAGTAACCTTACCGATGGAAAAATAATCATTCAACATATTTTTCAATTAATCTTTATAATAATAATTTTTTACAATTCTTCATTTTGTCCTATTCTCCCATAATTCCAATATCAATATCTCTCATTTTAAATTTTAAAAATAATCCTGGATCATTAATTCATTAAAAATTTTTTCCCATGATTGGTGGTGATTTAATGAAACTCTAATTAATTCTAATTAATTCGTCACATCTTTCAAGAAGTTCAACCTATCTTTAAAGTTATCATTAATTAATAAAATAAATGTAACCATAATTTATTTTGTGTATATAAGCGGATTTTTGGATGATTGTTTACTATAAATTATGATTTGTACTGTTGCAAGCTTTTGAATCATATTTTACACAAAATTAATTCTCCCAGCCATGATAGATAGTAAAATCTACTTCTTTTAGACGACGACATTGTTATATCACCGATTGCACAACATTTTCGGGTACAAATTTTTGCGTACGTGAAAATTAAATTGGCCAATCAAAAGGAATTTCGCGCTTAGTCATAACAACCTTTATCGTTAAAGTTCACACTATTCTAATATGGAAGTACGCATGCCAAGCAATGTAACATACCAAACAATTACCGGTTTCTGACCTTGTTTCGATATGCGATAAAACATTAAATTCTCCATACAAACAAAAACCCTTTTAACGCTATCGCGGACAAATTTGGCCCCGCGATTATCTGCAACAGTATTTTACTATCACCAAACAAATTAGAAAATGTGGCAATTAAGAATTACATTGCGAATATGTGACACTTAATTGAATAAATTAGTGTTATTAGATAAATAAATAAATATTAAATAAACAAATTAAAATTAATTAATAACTAATAAATTAATAATTAAATCTACATAAAAATATAATTTCTATCATAAATAAAAAAATTACAACTATACAATTAAAAAAAAATCACACTATAAAAAATATTACAGCTATCCAAATCTGTCGACCCATTTATACCCAAGCCCATAATCCGAATCTCTTATATTGCCTAATTTTGTTTCCTCCTCGACAACTCCCCTCATTTCAAGCGTTGGATACGATGTACCTTTTTGGCAGCGATCTGGTCCATTGTCCGATAGACTGCCATTACTATCACCCTTATTACCATTGCCTCCAATACCATCATCTAATGCATCACCAAACAGCAATTCTTTAGGTAAGCTTAATGAAAACCCATCACCAGGTGTCCACGTAGCTCTATGTAACATTTGAACAGATTTACGTGCCCTAGCTCTAAACTCTGCCCTTGATTGCTCCTTTTTAATTTCTTCTTCACTTGAAATTTTACCGGGTAATAATGGTGATGGCGATTCTTTTTCTTTTCGTCTTCGTAGTTTTAATGATATAGAATTCTCAAGACTTTCAATATAAGTGCTGTATTTGATTATTTCATACAACAGCCATTGTGATTTCTTTTCCCAATTTGTAAAAGCTTTTGAATTATTTGTTGATCGTGGTGTGAACTATAACGTAACATATTAGAAATTTTTTTTAATTATGTTTTCAATTTTACTTTCTCAAAAATAAATAAATGCTACTAATTTTAT